ACCCAAAATTTGCAAATCTGTCATATTTTGGGGTTATCAAGCGCATTTGGGTGTTTGATTACGAGAAGTTTCAGATTCCTATATTTGGTTGCAAGTGGGTTGAAAATAACAATGGCATACGAATGGATAAGTCAGGTTTTTTGCAAGTGGATCTTAATAGGGTGGGGTACAAAGATGAGCCTTTCATTCTAGCCTCTCAAGCTAAACAAGTGTTCTATGTCAATAATCCAACAAGTACGAAATGGTCTATAGTGCTATTATCTAACAAAGTAATTGATGAAAGCATTGGAGATCAAAGTGATATTGGTGTTGACATTGAATCTTTAACCATAACTGATCAAAATTATAATGAATCATGTATTAGAAATGATCATAATGAGGGTATTTGGATCAATCCAACTGTCCGTGTTGTTAAGAGAGGAGTATAACACATTCATACCAAGAAAAGAAAGAGACCTTAGTGAAAAGGGTGATAGTATATATAATTATAGCCTATATCATTCAATAAAATTTAATTTGTCATTTCATTTTTATTTGTCATTTCATTTTTATATTTGTCATTTCATTTTTATATTTGTCATTTCATTTTTATTTTTTTTCATTATTACAGGTCAAATGGCTAGTAATCAAGAAAACTCATAAGATGCAAATGCTCCTGAAAATGCTCCTGAAAATACTCCAGAAAATACTTCAGAAAAGACTTCAGAAAAAGATATTACACGAGGTATAACTATTATGAGGGGAATCATCCGTGATAGAGATAGAGGAGTAACATATAATGTAGATTGGAATGATAATGACCAACTAATTGGGTCTAATGCTGCAAAGTTGACAAGCTACATTGGTACGCTTGTTCGTATACACATTTCGATCACCACTCCTAGATGGAAAAGAGGAGAGTTGGATGAGGCTAAAGAGAAAGTTTGGACTGAGATAAAGGTACATATATGGTTTTTGTTATTTTCTTTATCTTGACGATAATATGTGTTTAAATTGCTTTTACTAACACACTTTATGCGTATGTTTTTTGTAGAGGTCTTTTAACATTGAAGAGACCCGTAAAAAGTATATAATGGGTTTGGCTGGAAAAAGACACAGAGGGTGGAGAACATTTTTAACAAACAAGTATCTTAAAGATGATGAAGGAAATTTTCTTGAAGAGGATCCGGAACGTCCAAAGAAATATGAGAACTTCATTACACCTGAAGAATGGGTTGGTTTTGTAGGCCAAAGAAGAGACGAGAATTTCAAGAAAGTGAGTGCTATCAATCGCGAGAGAGCGTCAAAACCCGCATATCTATACAAAAAAGGGAGTTTGGGATATGCTCGCTTAGGGGAAAAAATTGTAAGTAAATATAAACTCTACGATCTTATTAATTCTCTCAATGTGTTATAATTGATGATCTTAAGACTTGTGTCAATGCGTAGTTAGAAGAGACGAAAAGTGACCAACATCACTACCGACACATTTGTTGTGGAAGGAAGCTCGTGTGGGCAAGGATTAAGCTGTTAATCCCGATATTCAACATGTGTATGATGAATGTGTAAGTATAAGATTGTGTCTTTAGTTAAATCAAATGTTTATTAATATTTAAATAATTTTTTATCTCCACTAATAATTTTCGATATGTAAATGAATTACAGGAGACCTTATCGCAATCGGTATCCCCAGGTGAGGATCATCAGGATACCAGGAGCGTACTTAGTCGAGCACTAAATATTGCTGAGTATCCGGGTTGGGTGAGGGGTAAAGGTCATGGTGTGACTCCAACCTCTTTGTATAAGCATCCAAGGAGAAGAAATCCTAGCAATGCAGAAGTGATGCAAACATTGCAGGATTTACAAGCTCAAGTCCATGAATTGCAGAAGGATAAAGAGAGATATATGGCGGAAAAGAGCAGTTCACAATTGAAAGAAACTAGTGACAAAGCTAGTATCAACTGTCAGCATAAATTTCCCGAGGTAATTTTCAATATATATCCGTTATTATTATAGAATATTTTTAGTCACTTCTAACGGTTATTATTGGTTTAGGGCATTTCATCTTGCCAGCTATACCTATCGTCGCCGACTTATCGACTAGTTGGCAAGGGAAAAGTCCATAACACTTCGGGAGATTTACTTCACCATAGACCACTTCCGGATGGACACATGAAAGTATCAGTTGACATTGCTTTAGATATGGATGTGTTGCTGTCGGTACCTAACATTGTTGCTGAGACCATATTGCTACGAGATGCAATAGGATCTTTTGTTGCATGGCCATCGGACCTCATTTTCATAGATGATCAGGTATGTTGAAAACAATTATGAATCTTTAAGTCTTCAACTGTCAGTTCTGACCTCAGTTATTTCCACGGTAATTATAGACTCCTACAACACCCGCATCTAAGGGTAAAGGGATTTTGCGGCACGACGAGTCTGATGTATCACAAAAAGAGGTACGTTTAAAGTGTTAATTATATGATCCGAATAAAAAACTGCATAATTTTATAATTTAACTGAGTCTATATGATTTTTAGGTACCTTTTCAAGGGTCACAACAAGTGAGCCAGAAAATCATTGGCGTACCACCCAAGAAAAGGGTTCCTACTAGATTTTTCCCTCGATACCGGCAGTGTCTTGAAACAATAGTGGGAACAACAGATTTGATGGATGGTGGTATTCGTCAAATGGATATGGATCAAGGTATCTTTGGTTTTCCTTGCACCGAAATAATTAGACATGAGGACGTGGAACAGATTTTCCGTCATAAAGAATTAGGCGTCAGTATTATGCACGCATATATCCGGTAACCCCATCTTTATATTATGTAATTAGCTGGAATTTTTTTTAAACATTTTAATGAATATAGTCTAATATTAATTATGTTTTTATTTAAGGCTGTTATATGACAAATTGATGCGCGGGAATCAATTGTCAAACATATTCCATTTCGTGTCTTCCTCCCGTGTCAGCGGAGCGACAATTGGTAGGGAACCAGATTCAGTAAGAGAGCACTTAGTCGAAAGATTCATGACAATTGGTTGGGCGTATAATATTATTCCTACGGGGTTAGATTTTCATTCTAAGTTCATTTTAATATTTGTAATTTTTGCATAGAAAATTTTCTTCTAAACTGTTGTTTTAATTTATAGACGTCACTGGTTGTTGGTTGCTATCGATCCTATAAAAGAAGTGGTCTATTATCTGAATTCGGTTAACGGTGATTGGACAAATTATTTGAATATGAAGTTAATGATTGATACGTAAGTGAGATTATTCTAAATTTTTTTGTGTATTTATATATTTAATTATTTCTGTGACATTGTTCTAAATATATATTTTTATTTTGTTAGAGCGATACAAGTATTTCGGTGTCAAAGAGCAGCTCGGGTACGACGGTCTAAATCAAACAACATTAATTGGATCAAAGTGCAGGTATATTAATTTCCACTATTTTGCGTATAATATTTATGCTATTTGATAAAACAATATAACTATATATTCTTATTTGTTTTTCTATGTAGTGTCCTCAACAGCAAAACGATATAGATTGCGGATACTTCGTTATGCGGTTTATCAAAGAAATCATTCAACTGAATCAAATAGAGATTTCAGTCACGGTATGGATTTATAACTTAGGATTTGTTTTATTATTTCTCGGACATTTCATATAATTTTTTACTTTTAACTAAATCATGCATATTATGTTTTGTTATGTAGTACTTCGATGAATACAAATGTGCATATTACACGAAACTTCAGTTGGAAGAAATCAAAGAGGAATTGTGTCAATATTTTATTGAGCAGAGAATCATATAAGGTATGAATACATTATTATGTGAAAATTAAGTGTTATGAATACGTTACATGTGAACATGGAATACCATATTGACCGTGTTATTATGTTCAAACCTCGCAGGACCAGGACCTTAATACATAATTGACCGTGTTTCTTTCATACATTAGGACTGGTTTAGTCGTTGTTAGGGTTGATTTTGTAAGACTGATTTTGAGTTACAATGCTGATAACAATGGTTTTTATATATTTTGAGGTACAAAAATGGTGTATATATATTTTGGATTACAATGGTATGCAATGCATTACCGCGGTTTATGAATTACAGGTTGTGGCAACTGGTTTATATAAATAATATGCTGCAAACAATGCAGGTATATGAATTATATAAATTATACCTCTAAAAAAAACACCCTATGAAAGCGCTTTTTCAAGAAAAACGCTGCCTTAGGTAACCTTTGAAAGCGCTTTTTCACAAAAAGCGCTATCTAAGGTAAACATATGACAGAGCTTTTCCAGGCAAAAGCGCTGCTAAAAGACCACCTATGAAAGCGCTTTTGTAGAAAAAAGCACCACCTTAGGTAGACCTATGAAAGCGCTTCTTCATAAAAAAGCGCTGCCAAAAGCTTACTTAAGAGAGCGCTTTTTAGAAAAAGCGCTGCCAAAAGCCTACTTAAGATAGCGCTTTTTAGAAAAAGCGCTGCCAAAAGCCTACTTAAGAGAGCACTTTTTAGAAAAATCGTTGTCTTAGGTAGACCTACGAAAGCGCTTTTCATTAAACAAAAAGCGCTGCTAAAACTTATAGCAACGCCACCTTAGAAAGCGCTTTTAAGCGCTTTTAAAGGCCAAAAAAGCGCTTTCGTAGGTCTTTTTTGGCGTAGTGGTTGTTATAGATGACCTTTAGAAAGCGCTTTTAAAAGCGCTTTCGTAGGGGTAGTTGGTTGAGATGTTTTAGAGAACAAAATAATTAAAATAAAAATTTAAAACAAAGTTTAAAAGCAGAAAAAAAATTAGAAATGTTATTTGAGTGAAGATATGGATTCCATGAGTCACACAACATTACAATGTCCCCAAAGCTACCTTCACATCTATTCCCTTACCTCATCTTACTAACACTTGCATCCATCTATCTCTTCTCTTCTCTCATCTCTCTCCACACACCCTCTTCTTCAACCTCACAATCACTTTCAATCTCCAACTGCAACTTCTTCAAAGGCAAATGGGTTTTCGATCCAAATCACACCCCACTCTACGACGACACGTGTCCCTTCCATTGAAACGCATGGAATTGCATCAGAAACCAGAGGGAAAAATTGAGCTTGATCAATTCGTGGAAATGGGTTCCACGTGGCTGCCATTTGCCTCGGATTGACCCGTTTCAGTTTCTTGGTGTGATGAGAAATAACAACGTTGGGTTTGTTGGAGATTCGCTCAATGAGAATTTCTTGGTTCCGTTTTGTGTATTCTTAGGGTTGCTGATGAGGGTGCACGGAAGTGGAAAAAGAAGGGTGCTTGGAGAGCCTACACAAGTATTGATTTCATTGGATAAAATTCAAATAATCTATTTTAGACACTTCCAAACCCATTCCAAGGACATGGATCTTCTCCCACAGTGCAACAGTTATGCGTAAAACATTGCCACACCATACTTAGTATGGTGTTGCACTTAAAATACTCTTTCACCGCTGCATTGTGGGAGAGGATATGAGTCCTTTTTATAAAGGTACGAGAGTGTTGTTAAATTGGCATAGTCTTCAGACTATGTTTCACAATTTTTGTTTTGATATCTTACCCATCTTGTTTAAATTTTTTTGTGAATAATAGGTTAAGTATCATAATGAGTTGCAACCTTTGTATTCAATTCTACCTTGGAGAATCATTATGTTGTTTTAGTATATTGATATTGCACATGCAAATGGTGAAAGTTTAGAATTTGTTCTTAGAGCTTTGAATATTTTTTCTTTTTGTATGTACCCTAAAAATGTTGATTATTTGTGTCTTTAATTTTATCACAGGTAGCTTGGGGACACAAAATGTCAAAGTATTGAATTTTCACTTTGGTCAAAAAACAGTTGGGCTTTCACAACATTTTGGTCCTAGAAGTTGGATCAGTAGGATGCCACAACAGTACACTAGTTTGGTTACATCTCTACAGACAGTTAGATATTTAACCTCGTCTAATGAACAATCGACAGAGATCCAACGTAAGTTATTTATTGTTTGATATTCACAAGTTATTTTGTTGAATATGCGATAGAAATTCCGTTGTTCTAATAGTCAATTTCTTTAAGCCTATTGAAAAATTCCTACCACCTATGATTTCTAGTGCATTATTTATGTCCTACTTAGGACTACGGAAACGATCTGATGCGTTCTTGCGACTATGTTGATGTCGTATTGTGTGTGCATTATAGTGAATAATCTGTATTTAGAATTTTCTCATTCATTAGAAATCAGTAAGCCTTTGCTGGTGCATCTCCAACCTTGATAACACAGCCTCAATCTCAACTGTTGGTTCATTTTTAGCATCTACAATTATGCACCGATCTTTGCATCTTTCTTGCTTTTCCAGCATTGCTTCCATTGACTAGTTTGATTTTAAATTTATTTTCTCATTGCTGACACATTGGACCTGTCTCATCGCCCAACTTACTTGCCCAATAACAAGATTCTTGGTGGCTGTCTCCTTCATAAATGTGTTCTTCTTGCTGTGACAGATAGTTTTTGGGGAAGGCTGAGCCTCCTACTTGTTCGACTCACCCAAAACTTGTTAGGAACTTGGAAATTTTACTGAAAACAAAATACTATTTTGTTGGAAGATTAAGAAAGATAGAAAGAAAGAACTCTCCTTCAAAATTCTGTTATTTTTTATCAGGACTCTGTTGGTTTATGTAAATATGGGATCCTATTAAAATACTAATGTGCTAATGCATTCATGCTGTGATCTGATTCACATTCAAAATTGTGCTTAAACTGACATTTTCATTATAATTAGTTTTTAAAATTGAAACTGTCAAATTACTATGTAGTGATTAAAATGTTACATGTGGCAAAGTCTGTTAACTTGATATGTATACCATAGTCTGGCTTCTATTGATGTCCCATTTTTTATGATGCAACAGCTGTTTCAAGGTCAGAAGAAGGTTCTGAAGAGATTAAACCTTCTGGTTTGACAAGCGAACAAATTCTCAATTTTAATGAGGTTAGTGCATAGTACATGTCATCATCTATTCTAGAAATCATAAGTCCAAAATCAATAAAACACATCCTAATTGATGATGACTTTATTAACTTGTGCAGTTTTCCACCATGGTTTGACCTGATTTTCATCGACCCGTTTCAATCTCTTTGCAGGTGGAATTCCTCCTCACAAACTTATACGACACAACTTCAATTGCAGAGCTTGAATTAAAAGTAAGCTATCATCCTTACTGACCAATGAATTTTAGTCTCTGCATAAGCCAATTAATTAGGTACTCTATTAAATCTTGCTTCCTTTATTGTTTCTTCTTCATCCCCATCTGCCCAACCTTCAAATCATACCAGCTTGATGGATTTCACCTGCGTGTAGTGAGGGGTTTGACTGAAAATACTAAAACCCTTCCTCCTCCAATTCCTGCTCCAGAAAGTATAAATTCTGTCGTCGAAGCACCTGTTTCTACATCGTCATCATTGGCCATCTTCAAGCCAACACCTTCTTCAGTGTCTATCCAGGGATTCCTAGACAAAGCTGCAGATGAAGGGTTGGTGATAATTCAATCTCCAGCGGTAAGAATCTAAAACAAATAGTATTTTTCATCCCTTCCAATAGTTTATTCTAAAGCCATAGAGCAGGTGGGCTTCTTCAGAAGATCTCGAACCATAAAGGGAAAACGTACTCCTCCTAGATGTGAAGAGGTACACTTCAAGGCCTTTCCTTCTCATTTTTTCAGTCAACTGAAATCTTGTTATCATAGTATCTCTCACATTCACCCCATGTGTATGTTGAGAAATCTACCATTTCCAAAAATAGTTTTTGATTGTGTGACATGTAAATTTTTTGACAGATGCAAATGATTGAGGAGGGACAAGTGATATGTTACCTTGAACAGCTTGGTGGAGATCTGCCAATTAAGGTTTGTGTCAAAAACATTCCCTTATCTTTTCCAAATTCATATGTTACATAGTTACTAGTACTACTATATCTAACTATTTCCTTCACATTTCTTTCTAGTCTGATGTCTCTGGGGAGGTCATCAAGATTTTAAGAAAGGATGGTGGTTAGTTAGTTACCTCAATTTTTTGTTTATTCATTGTTTGATCTTTATAGAGAGTCTTATGTGGATTTTGATTATCACTTTGTATGTTTGTCTTGTCGACAGATCCTGTTGGTTATGGTGACGCACTTATAGCAGTTTTGCCGTCATTTCCAGGAATAAAGAAGCTTCAATAGATCTTTCATATGCAACATTCACACTCCACAATGAAGCCGTGTCTGGTGTCTCACACGTGTCGGTATCCAACACTCACATATCATTACATTCACTGTTGCTTATCATCGTGCGGTTTTTCTCTCCAAATATCAGTAACCTTCTCCTTTACCAATTCTTTTTCTTGTTTCCGGTTTCAAAGTTCAGAATTTTGCAAATAGCTTGTATTGAGTTGGTGAAATTTAGAGTCTGTTTGGAAGAACCTACTTAAACAGATATTGACTTTTAGGGTTCTGGTTTTACTTTGTTTCTTTCTTGTATACTTTTTTAAATGGAAACCTTATGTGCTAATTACTTTTTTAAATGGCAACTGGTTTATATAAATAATATGCTGCAAACTATGCAGGTATATGAATTATATAAATTATACCTCTAAAAAAAACACCCTATGAAAGCGCTTTTTCAAGAAAAACGCTGCCTTAGGTAACCTATGAAAGCGCTTTTTCACAAAAAGCGATGTCTAAGGTAAACATATGACAACGCTTTTCCAGGCAAAAGCGTTGCTAAAAGACCACCTATGAAAGCGCTTTTCCAGAAAAAAGCGTTGCTAAAAGCCTACCTAAGACAGCGCTTTTCCAGAAAAAGCGCTGCTAAAAGAAACCTTATGAGAGCGCTTTTCCAGAAAAAGCGCTGCCTTAGGTAGACCTACGAAAGCGCTTCTTCATAAAAAAGCGCTGCCAAAAGCCTACTTAAGAGAGCGCTTTTTAGAAAAAGTGTTGTATTAGGTAGACCTACGAAAGCGCTTTTCATTAAACAAAAAGCGCTGCTAAAACCTATAGCAGCGCCACCTTAGAAAGTGCTTTTAAGCGCTTTTAAGGGACAAAAAAAGCGCTTTCGTAAGTCTTTTTTGGCGTAGTGAGAGGAGAAACATATTTTCTTTTTTAAATAGAAAAATAAAATAAAATAAATAAGTCCGTCAGTTTTTTTAAAAAAAAATTTGAGGTAATAAATTCCAAGAAAAAATGATAAATGATAAAAAATTAAAAATAACATGTCTGGTTTTTATTTCAATTTTTTACCAGTTAACATTTTTTGTGTGCAATTTACAACATGTTTAGAAATAAATTTCTCAATATTGTCAGCCAAGAAAATCAATGTTGTTTTCTTTGATTGACAACATAGGAAAATTATTCTAAAAATACAACAATAACAACATCAACAACATGAACAATATTATGTGAGATTGATTGCAAGGGAAGAAAAAATATTTTATTCAAGATTGAAGAATATTGATGATTTTTTATGTATTCATCCCATAAGAATGATGCATACGAGTTTGAGACTACTACATATGAGTTAGGTTTAGGGTAAAATCTATTTAACTGGTGATTTTATAGTAATATCTGATTATTTTATCACTTGATTATTAATAAAATCAAAGGGACAAATCATTTAGTTTACACGTAAAATGAAATAAAAACATAAACTACAATAACTAGGATTCGAAGAATGTCCCGTATTGTCTTTTCCCACGGTGTTTTTAAACAACAAAGAAATATGTTATTTTATGTTTAAAAAAATTAAAATATAACGCGCCTTGGCGTTATACCTCGATTTTGTTTTGACTGAAGTGAAAATTTTATCATAAAATATATTATTTGTACTAGTGCACACAAAAATACTAGTCAAACCCTTGAGTCAAACCCATATTCTCCATATACCTTCATGTTTTTGTTTTGTTCATACTATAAATTACACCACACACCACCTTAATCCAATTCTAATACTCAATTCATCAATTATACAAAACCTTCCATCTACATAAACCTCTAACATAACCTTCAAATTCTCCAACACCACAACTATTTTTTTATCAACAACATAAGAATCATTTATACACAATTTAAACCAAACATTACAATCACCTTGTTGTTAAACTACAACGACTTATCTATAGAGAGGTGAATAGATTCTCAACTAAAAATTACTTTTCAAAAATAGATATTTAAAAATTATTCGAAAAACAATGTTGAGTGGAAGATTTTCGACATAGATCAAAATAGTAGTCTAAAAACCTAGTTATTGAAAACTCGGATATGCATAAGCCGTATAGAATTAAGATAATAATAAAATCAATCAACACAATAATATCTCAGTTAACCTTTAATATAAAAAACAGCGGTTTCCTATTTCCAATGAAATTAAGTTAAAACCCAACTTGAAAATTTATCAAACACTTGACGCGCGATCAATTTTTCATTTTTTTTTTGAGCTTTGTGGATATGAAAAAGCATTTACAATCAAAGTGATTATAAGATAATTAATAAATCAATTTAAACTATAACAATCAAAGAAAAATTATAGTTGGCACTCAAACAAAAAATGATTATGTGTAGTTTGTTAGTGTGTATGCATAGATTTAAGGTTGAAGATGAAGAGCAATGGTGGTAAGTGTTTATAGTTTTTTTGAAGTTGAAATGATGCATGTATGATGTATTTATAGTTGAGGAAATATGATGGAAAAAAGGTAACTTCAGATTTAAAAAATAGTTAAAAACACTTGACTAAACAATCAGGATGTGTCGACACATATGAGTTATGTGTCGACACATGATGTCAAAAATTGACTCGTGTGCCATTCTGAAACAGGAAATATGCTGACACATGAGAAATAAAAGTTGCAGGCTTTAATAATACAACACATGTATCATCTTGAAAAATCGTATGTGTCAACACATACTGTTATTTTTTTCATCATGTGTCGATCTGAACTGAAATATGTGCCGACCTATGCAAGAGAGAAGCTACAACCGTTAAAACTGCAATACATGTACCGGTCTGAAAGTCGGATGTGCCAGTGTCATACCCCAAATTTGACCTACCCTTAATTATATTTAGGTTTTATTTAAATAAATCGCATTATTTAGTTTTCACTTTTATTGGGGTGTTTAAAATCAGAGAGGGGTGTATTGATCCAAAATGGACCATCAATATCTGATGGCCCATTAGGCTTTAATAAAAGTTTTTTCAAGTTAAAAGAGAGAGGCGTATTATTTGAATCGAGGAGGTGTGAACAAATCTGTTATTGTTCAAAATCTAATATTAAACAAGGAGGCCCGTATAAATTTTTAATTCATTTCAAACGTTAAAAGAAAGGGTCCATGAAACAAGTTAGTTTTTAAGAAGCTCAATAGAGTGCTGGCCTTTTTGTTCTTTTCGTGCGAAAAATGTTTTGTTAATTATAATATTATTCTTATTACTGTTTTTTTTTATTATTATATAACTTAATTAAAATAATAATAATATTTTGTTGTAATTTTGGAAACATTATAAAAAAAAAACTCTCAAAGGCGCAGCCCAGGCACAAATAGAACGGTGTGGCTCATTTGTTTTTTCAATTTGAAAAGTATTTTTTATATATAACATTATTATTATCGATAGTTATCATTGCTGATTATTTTTTTTATTAATGTTGATTATAACTATATAATATATTAACATCCTAATTAAAAGTGGATCTCTGTGTTTGTCATTCAAAAGAAAAAGGCTTCCATTCCACGGTTATCTCCCAGCCTCGAAAATGTCAAGCCCAAAGCACAAAAATGCTTGGCCCAAAACCTCCTAACAGCTACTGTACAGATCAGCTAAGGATCAACGCACCCCACCTCTCCAAATAATTTATTATTATTATTATTTTGTTTAGTTAACATTTAGAAAATAGGGTTCAATTTCAATTGGGCTTTTGGGCCTTAATTTTTACTAAACATCTAATCTATCTCTCATATGTATATTCTCCAATGTTATTCATACTTTAGAAATAGTTTTTTTAACGATTTGGGCCTTGGGCCCTATTTGTTTATATATTAATTAGGTTAATATAATTTAGCTAGATAATTTGGGTTATAAAAAAAATATAAAAAATACACTTTTTAGTTTTTTTTTAAAATAAATTAAATCACCTTTTTTTAATTAAGTTAATTTAATATTTTACATCAATAATTAGAATCCACACAACTTGCCAAATTCACCATCCGCAAATGTCACGTGATCAATATCTGACCACGTGATGAGTAGACTATATCAGACTCCCTTACTTTGCGTCTTAATCAAATCAAATACCAAAACAGCTAACCAACATCAAAAATCATTTTTTATTAACTTAATCAAAACTTCAAGGTCATTTTTTCAAAAAAAAAATTAAATAGCATTGTCTTCGAATCAAACTACGAACTGCATCTACCATCACTCAATTTACAACCCAGACAAGATTCAAGGTTAATTCGAAAACAATTCTATGCAATCTTTTAAAAAAACACAAATCAAACTACGAACTAAGAATTGGGTCTCTGACTCCTCCTAAGATTAAAATTGTGACGAGTCTGACATACGATTAAAATTGTGACGAGTCTCCCTAACTAAAATTCAAACCCTTCCCCTAATAAAAAATAAAAACCTATTTCCTAAACATCGCGCTTCTAAACCTAGTATCCTTGCAAACAAGATAGATAAGGAGTGTCTAACACCTTCCCCTCATCTAGAACCGAGTCCAAATCTAGAATCTCTGACTTCTAAGGTTATTCCTTTATACTCCCTTCCTTTAGGATAAAAATTAAGGGTGGTGACTTTAAAAGTATGAGTCCATTATATTATAAATTCAACTAGTCTTGATCCATGCTAGAACTCAATTTCCGTCTCCCACCGAACTTAACAATGACTATGATACTACATGTTGGGGTGTCCGAGGAGCATTAAAAGTGTGCAGGATTCAAGAGACCTTAACATCACATACTCAGTTAAACCTTAAGACAATTGTCGTATAGGTCATTTCTCATATATATTCAATATTTTTTCTATTTTTAATTGAGGTAGAATTTAATCACTCACACTTAAACTCAATCAGCTACTTTTGTATATTATTGTCAATTAATATTAATATTTTAAATATTCATAAATTATAATTGTGATCAATTTAGTGTCTTTGAATGTGTTGTCATTTATTGAATTTAAAAAATAACATTACTAG